GGTAAATGAAAGCGGTAAGTAAAAGTGCTGGGTTCAAACCACAGAATGAGTGCTGTGTTTCCTGAATCAACCCTTCTAAAAACCATTTAATCAATCCTTAACTGGTTTGCTGGTTTCCTAGTCAGACTGGTTCTTTTTTTTATTTTACCCAGCACTGGGTTGTCTTTAACCCAGTATTTTTTTAAGAGTGCAGAAAGGCCAGTTGTCAATCAGATAGACCAGCTAAAAAAAACAGCTTTGCCAAGGGAGACCAGACCAGCTTAAACCTGTTGATAAAAGCGTCATGTCAATGACAGAACTGAATTCAAACTAACCAAAATTTCATCACCACCAAAAGCCTTAGCTACTGCGCAACTGGCAACAAGAAGCTTAAATCTGAAACTTCTCACCAGACAGTTCTTCATGAAAGATAGAGTTGAACAAAGCGAACAAAATACTAAGAAATCATGTATGCGTTATTTTCGCATGCAATGGAAACGATCTCAAATCGAAGTGAGAGCTCCCTACGTAGACAACATGTTTGGGCATCCTCAACATGGAGTAGGCAGCGCACTTACTTGACTGAGACTTAGATCAACTTACCAGGGTGCACGTATCTAGATATAGTTAAAAACACAAAGATAGTCCGTAAAGTGAATGTGATTGTCCGGGTAGTCCCCCCCTCTCCCCCAGATCGAGCGCGCGGTGCAGTCACATCTACGAGCAAAGTTGTGCTGTTAAGTGTGTGTGCGCTCACGGGCGTCTTCGCTCTTCAGATGGGAGGCGCCGTTAGATGACTTCACTGATTTCAGCGTCTCCTTCAAACGTACAGAACGGAAACAGTCGCTTCGTTCGGCTCTCAGTAACATTAGTATCGTTCGCTCGCTGTTTTCGGGAGGCTCTTTCAGTGGGGTCACATCACTGTACTGCACAGAGTGTACCCGCTAAAGACTGCGCGACAGCGCATGCGCAAACGGGACGGACCGGGAGAGGGTTGTGCAGGAAAGTTCAGTCGGTCGTGTTATTATGATGCTGAAAACTAGCGCATTTATTCGTTACGTCTTCTGATCGGTCCGTTTTTGTTTCCTGAATCGTTTCACGCGTCATGGTTGTAATGATAGGTTGCATTGTGACAACTTACCCCCTGTTTTGTTGTCACCAAAGGTCAGCGTGTTCAAGGTCTTTCATCCTGGGCAAAGCTTTTAAAATAGTGTTTTGTAGCCAAGATACATATTGACAAATACACCTTCTCTGCGAGATAATGGTGTTACACCACAGCGCTGCGAATAAAGCAAGAATGAATGAATGTATAAATAAATGCATGCATAAATGTATAATGTAAGATAAGACAAAAGAGAGAAAGTGAGTGTGCATTGTAACAACAAAGTGTCACAAACATGGGAAGTTCCTGCTGGGAGAAACCACAACTAATACAATTCTGCAAAAAAAATTAACACCCTTTTTTTATCCGATATAAGTTTATGTTCCAGCTACACTGACACTGTTAACACATTTTCCAGGTTAAATAAATAAATATTATCACTTGCTATTTAATAAGCGCAGTTGGACACACAAATAAAATAAGGTTTTTCTTCAGCAATGCTGTTTACGCATTCAGTATTTGATGCAGTGACTCATGAGAACAAATTCCAAAGCAGTACGTTTTCATTGGTAAAGGCCTATATGATTAATATGAACAGTCATAAAAGTACATTTATTTGATATGAAAACAATAAAGTGAAAGAGTTTGTAAGATAAGACAAAAGAGAGAAAGTGAGTGTGCATTGTAACAACAAAGTGTCACAAACATGGGAAGTTCCTGCTGGGAGAAACCACAACTAATACAATTCTGCAAAAAAAATTAACACCCTTTTTTTATCCGATATAAGTTTATGTTCCAGCTACACTGACACTGTGTTAACACATTTTCCAGGTTAAATAAATAAATATTATCACTTACTATATAATAAGCGCAGGACACAAATAAAATAAGGTTTTTCTTCAGCAATGCTGTTTACGCATTCAGTATTTGATGCAGTGACTCATGAGAACAAATTCCAAAGCAGTACGTTTTCATTGGTAAAGGCCTATATGATTAATATGAACAGTCATAAAAGTACATTTATTTGATATGAAAACAATAAAGTGAAAGAGTTTCGGAGATGAAGAGCTTTGCTTGTACTGCAGGCTAACAGTACCAAATACTTTTTAGAGAACCTGAGTGTAAACACATTAGCAATATACTGTATATATTATATATATATGTACTACTATATGTAACTCTCCTCAACCTTCAAACCTTAAAAACTGAACTGAAGTGGGGGTTTGAATGATATTGATTTCTTAAGTTAACCATTGCATTGATATGACAATACTGTCCAGGGTGTTTTGGCAACATTATTACAAGTCATTACGTCAATCACAGAGAAAACCAACTCCACTTTCCAAATATTATCTAGAGTTAAAGACATTTCTTTAATGCTGCTGGACACAACTAGAATAAGCGGTCGTCTTCAGCGGCTGTGGTTTTCCTTCAGCAGCACGGCATCTGCTAATATCCAACCATCTTGGCTTGCAGAAATTGCTAATTAAATTATAGTATTCTTATTACAGACTCCATAGAGGAACCTGATTTCCATGAACTGATCCATCTCTATCGCTCTCTGATTTTATTATCTTGAAACATCCACTGACCATTATGCATGGACTGAAACCCAGCAATCTTTCTTGGAAGTCAGTCTTAAAGGAGTAGTTCACCCAAAAAAAATGATCATTTGCTGAAGGTTGACTCACTCTCAGGCCATCCCAGATGTAGATGAGTTTGTTTCTTCATCAGATTTGGAGAAATGTAGCATTGGATCACTTGCTCAGCAATGGATGCTCTGCAGTGAATGGGTGCCGTCAGAATGAGAGTCCAAATAGCTGATAAAAACATCACAATAATCCGAGCTGTTCATGAGTTGCAAAGCTCTTCATCTCTGAAACTGTTTCACTTTGTTTTCATATAAAATAAATTTACTGTTGTGACTGTTCATACACTCTAAAAATGCTGGGTTAAATACAACCCAGCGCTGGGTAAAATATGGACAAACCCAGCAATTGGGTTGTTTTCAACCAACAGTTGGGTTGAATGTTTAACCCAACCTTCTATTCAGTAATCCAACTGCTGGGTCAAAACAACCCAATCGCTGAGTTTGTCCATATTTTACCCAGCGCTGGGTTGTATTTAACCCAGCATTTTTTAGAGTGTATTAAACAATGAAAACTGCTTTGGAATTTGTTCTACAGGTGAGTATACATTTTCAGAAAAATTTCATTTTGGGGGGAAAATTTCCTTTAAAAGGAACAGTTCAAACAAAACATATATATAAAGTCAAGAAACAAAATGAGCATTGTATCAGTCTCTTTCAGAGTGAGCTTAATTTTAAATGCAACATAATCTTATTTAATCCCCAATCAAAGCAGCTCTTTCTCTCAGTTGCACTAATGCACATCATGCACATACTTCAGCAACTGAATGACAAAGGAAAGTCTTTTACAATAATTCTAATGAAAGCAAAAAAGAGTGATTGGGGACCAGTTTAATGTGTTGAATGCTTGAAGCCATGCATTTTTGCCAGTGGGGATTATGACATGTGACATGTTATTTGCCAAGAACGTTTAATCACACCTTTGCAGTTCTTTGAGGTGTCCTGTTGGTTTACATGGCATGTCCAACTGTGGCTTAAAACCTTTCTGAAAGCATTGAAATGCCAGTGAATCATCTTACTCATGGCACAAATTCAACCACAGATGACAAGCAGAAAACCAATCCTGAGCTCTCTGTGGTTAATAATATCTGCATATGAGATATGCTATTAATACTGATGTGAATCTTCATTATATGCATTACAGTAAACTCAATGAATGTCGTTTATACCTGCAGCTGCTCGAATTTCCTTCTGTGCACATGTCTATATGGGTGGGTGTATGTGAGTGAGAATCATTTTAAAATGACATTTTACATAAGCCCTTCTTCTAATCTGACTTTGACCTAAAATCAGAAAGGGAAACATATGCCTCAGCGCGTTTGAGCTAATGTATTATGACTTTCTGTTGCAATCTAGGTCGCTTGATTTATTTAACACAATATACAGATCTTCATAAAAGTCTGGGTTGACACCCTCACTATGGAAAACAAGAGGATGATATCATATTTCAACAAAACAATCAGTGCAAAAACCTCATAAACAGCACTGATAATATTAATAGTTTATACACACCAATTCAAGTAGCACAAATAAAGAGTATCATATCAGATAACTGATTTTTTTTTTTTTAATGACTACTTTTAATCAGCAAGGACACATATTCAATTGACTAAAAGTGACTGTAAGATTTCTATTTCAAATAAAAGCTGTTCTTTCTATTCATTAAATCAAACTTTTAAAAAAAAATGCATCACAGTTTCCACATCACAACTGTTTTCAACACTGATAATAATAAGAAATGTGACACTGACGACTGGAGTGATGATGCTGAAAATTCAGCTTTGCGTCACAAGAATAAATTACATTTTAAAATATAATACAATAGAAAACAGTTATTTTAAATTGTAATAATATTTCACAATATTACAATTTTCACTGTATTTTTTGGCAAATAAATGCAGACTTGGTGAGCAGAAGTCTTTGAAAAACGTTTAAAAAATCTTACTGTCACCAAACATTTAAATGGTAGTGTGTGTATATATGTATAAGACACTACTTCTTTTATGTTCAACAGAAAAAAAAGAAAAACTCATACAGGTTTGGAAAAACCTGATGGTGAGTAAATGATGACAGAATTTTCATTTTTGGGTGAACTATCCCTTTAACGGTTAGATGAACCAATTTTGACATAATTCATCTTTAATTTTAATTTTGAGAACTCTGAGACATTAGACGGAGAGACTGTGCATATAGAGTTACGATACAGCTTGGCTGCTTGGATGTCACTTCTTGGAAGTGAAGAATCTTGTCATTGCAGTCAATACAATGAATGTTGGTAGTCTGTTCTCAGCCGTCAGACTGAGACGCACTGCTGGGCTTTTCCTTCTCAGACATGTCCTTCAAATCTGTAAAAAAACGAGAAACGCTGTTGAGAATCTATATTATGTTTCCAGACGTAACAAAACATCTACAAGTGTCGAGCAAAGTCAATGTGGGAAAGATTGAAATATAAACATTCCCGTCTGGTTTACAGAAAAAAAGGCTTTATCACTGTTTCATGGGATGAAGTTTTCCGGCTGCACAAAGCCAGAAGAGTAAAGCACCTTTTACAGTAAGTATACTGTAAGTATCTCAGTAAGTGACAAATTACTCAAATTGTCCACACAAAGCTATTCTATAACTTCAGAAGACTTGAAAAGTTGCACGAGTTGAATTATGGATACATAATTTTTAAAAACAGTAAATTTTTGTCTTGTTTGGACCTTGACAGCATCACATTCAATTTCATCATACAGAGAAGAGCAGAGTGGGCATTCTCCTTTTGTGTTTCACAGAACAGATTTGCATCATACACTCTTGCTGGGTTTGTCCCTATTTTACCCAGCACTGGGTTGAATTTAACCCAGCATTTTTTAGAGTGTAGTGATATTTTTATTAATAATTTCTGAATAGGTTTTTATTGTTATATTGTTTTCATTTTAATTTTAGTTAACATTTTAGTAATAGTAATCATGAAGGTTTGGAACAACATGGGTTTGAGTGAATGATAGAATTTCTGTATTTTAAATGCATGTAACATTTCCATGTGGATTGCAGAGTTTTAAAATAAACTAACTAATAAACTTAATGTGATGCATATTTGTCAGAACATACGTAATAGTTTATTGTTAACTAGTTGCATCTAATTTTTATTTAAATATTCACCCTTTCTATAACTCATTTATTCAAATCACTTAGAATGAGCATTCATCTGTTCATTGTGAAAACAATTAAATGTATTCAGTTCAAAAATATGAACATGAATAAAATATGGTTAGAGAGTCGAATTTGTATAATTGACAATACAACTGTATAGTTGACAATAATTGACCATCTTCAGCAGCAATAATCAGCAAAATTTGTGAGTTCCATTCGGATAAATGACATTGTTTACGTTCACTGCCACCAATATGGCCGACTTCCGGATTGATGACGTGTCGTGAACACACTCTATAATAGATACAAAATACTCACAATGAAGTACCGTCTTGTAGACTAGAGTGTAGCCGAATTCTTTGTTCGTGTTCAGATCCACAGTAAAAAGGAAGCGCAGTTCGAGCGGGAGCTGTGATCTGGGCATGTTTACTACAGCCGGGATGATCCTCTGTGACATGGGCCCTTCAGACAGGACCTGGTGCATCTGATACGAGCACCAGTCATCCTTCACAAAGTTTGGAGTGACGAGTAACAGCCAGCAGTGACTGTCCTGCACGGCCTGCAGCAGCTCAGTGGACACAGCGCCTCCTGCGGGACAGTCCCGCTCCTGCAGGTAACAGCGCAGACCGTTAGACGGGGCCTCTAGGAACGAGGCCAGACTCTGTGCTAGATCACTGTCCTCATCATTGTGACACACGAAAACATCATATCTGAGAGAGGAGCGGAAGGGGGAGGAGAGCACGGAGGGCAGAGGCTGATCTGAGGCTGACGGCTTGGCTGAAATGGAGGAAGAGGAGGAGGAAGAGGAGGAGCTGCTGGTGTTGGAGTGTCCGGAGGGGCACGTCTGAGAACATTTACCTGGTTGGACTTGGTCCAAATCATTTCTTTGTTTTCCAAAGCGCTGACGAAACCAGCCTGATGATGCAAAGAAATATGATATTATTCAGTTATTCAGTTAATGTAATATTCAAGTAATACACATTTTAATGGGACAGAGCTAAAAGCGCATCACTATAAAGCACTATATATCTAAACATTAACTGACATACAGTATATATAGCATTAAATTTGTGCATTTCAGCATAGTTTCTTTATTACATATATACAGATAACATTATTATACAATTTCTGATGAGATTATTACAATGTTTTACAGTATTACAGTATTTAACTAAAGCAAAACACTAAAGTTTTAAATCGAAATTATTACATTAAAATTTAAATTTTTTACTAAACATTTATACATTTTTGCACATATACATAAACAACAAATATATTACTAATATATTTGTTATATATGTTTTAAATCTAAATAAATTGTTACATTGTATTTATTATTTTCAATTATTTTAAATTTTATTGTATTTTTGAAATTATATTTTGAATAAACATTACATTTAAACTACACACGTGTGTATGTGTGTGTGTGTGTGTGTGTGTGTGTGTGCGTGTATATATATATATATATATACACACTACTGTGCAAGTCCTTGACTAAACATTACATTTAAACTACACACGTGTGTGTGTGTGTGTGTGTGTGTGTGTGTGCATATATACATACACTACTGTGCAAGTCCTAGGCCATTAGTATTTTAACCAACAAAAAATGGTTTTAAGTCAGTTATTTCTATTGTTTGCTGTAGTGTGTCAGTAGGAAATATCAGTTTACATTTCCAAACATTCCTTTTGCCATTAATTGTAATAATCCAGAGAGATTTTTGTCTGACAACAGCCAGTGCTGCACACAGATATCTGATCTCAGCATCATCCAGTCCGTCTGCGATTACATGAAGGAACAGAAAAAACTGAGACTAAATCCAGAAGAGCTGTGGCAACATCTCCAAGACGCTTGAAGAAACCTTCCTGCAAAGCTATACAGTACTGTGAGAAGTTTTAGGCACTTGTGTAAAAATGCTGTAAAGTGAGGATGCTTTCAAAAATAATGTCATAATTAGCACCAGTTCCTCGAGACAAAAGCGATTCTGTTTCACTATGACTATCACGGCTGAATGACAATAAACGCTGATTTGCTTCTGATTTTACTTCTTGCTGTCGTACTGTCAGTATCTTCTTGAAGTCCTGCTACCACATTAAAATGTCTGTTTTTTTGTGTTACATAATTGTTAACTTCCTTTGTGTTTGATAGTGACGATGCAACATGAAACTGCAGCAGAGACTTACCCATAATGCTGCTCATGTGGTTTTCCTCCATTCTTCTCCATCCTTTCAATGATATAAACTACAGCAGGCACATACGAAGTCAATAATTAAAAATAAATACTGTATCGCACACTACATCTCATGTATACACAAAAGTAACTCTCATACAACAGAAAAAAAAACCATTGCATGACATGCACACTGTCATCTGCTTAAAGTTAATATCGCTTCCACTTTATCCCTTGGATCACTTTCACTTTTTATGTCTGGATATTAGTGCATTTGTGATTATTATGAAGTAGACTGCAAGTAAATATCATCATTCTATCATATTCAAAGCATTATTAAAACAGTAGATGATGAATAGAGTGAGACGATCAGTTGTTTTAAGATGAAAAGAGTGTGCAGGTCGTCTGAGGGCACTGCTGCAGTGCAGAAGATCAGCATGAGATGTTTGAGGAAGTTCATGCGATCGGAAATTATGCAAACCAACACAACTTATGTCCGTTGTAACAAAATAATCATAATAAAAGAATAGGAAGATAGGAAGTGAAGAAAGAAATGGGTGTAACTTTGACTTACATTTGGACTTACTATTGACAGTCTGGCCTGACTACAGTATATTGAAACTACAGGAGTAGCAGTTTCCATTCACACTTGGTCTATATGGTTTGCTGGGCTTCCCCTCAGTTATGAGAAATGGGTGCGGTCGAGATTTCAAACATACATACAGAGTCTGTAAAGTCTAAAAAATGATTCAGCTGTGGGAAGATTTTGCATGTTCCAGTTACTAAATCATTCGTATCATTCATGTTATGCCATGGTGGATAACCTACATTTTTGCTCTAAGGGCATCATTTTAAGCTGTAGCTAAAAAAAAAAAAAGTGCAAAAGCTGTCACTGTGGCGGTAGCTACCCTTTCAAAAGGTACTAATATGTACACTTAAGGTACTAACACACACCATTTAGGGGTAAGTAAGGTACAAAAGTGTGCTTCGACTGTGTGTGGTTTTTACCGGTCACTGCTCCTTACACACTCTAAAAAATCCTGGGTTAAAAAGGGACAACCCCAGCTATTGGGTTGTTTTGACCCAGCTGTTGGGTTGTTTTGACCCAGCGGTTGGGTTGTTTTGACCCAGCGGTTGGGTTGTTTTGACCCAGCGGTGTTGCTGGGTTTGTCCCTTTTTAACCCAGCATTTTTTAGAGTGCACATCCACACCCAAACCCACACATTATCAGTGTGCAAACGTGTGCGTACATGTGTGTCTGAAAGCCAGATCCATGTAGGCTACAGTGGTTCATTTGTTTATTTATACCTAAATTTGTTTGATTTTTAATGCAATAAAGTCATATTCGTGTCATTTAAATTTTCAATAATATTGTAAAATATCACTACAATTTAAGTTTTCTAAAATGTAATTTTCAAAGCTGAATTTTCAGCATCATTACTCCAGTCTTCAGTGTCGCATGATCCTTCAGAAAACATTCTAATATGCTGATTTGCTGCTCAATTATTGTTGGTGCTTAAAAAAAAAAAAAAAAAAAAGGTTCTTATTACCATTGGTGAAAACCAATTATTTTTGCGGAAACCGTGACACATTTCTTTTTTTCAGGATACTTTGATGAATTGAAAGTTCAAAAGAACAGCATTTACTTGAAACGGAAATATGTTTTAGCATTATAAATGTCCCTTTTGATCAATATATAATGCATCTTTGCTGAATGACTTTTATTTTGGAAACAAAACGCTCTTCCGGTCGGACGTTCAGACGCGTGCTGAATGAGGTGCGTAAACACTTGTCACTTTATATCCGTTGTATAAGATCAGCATTGCAACATGAAAGTTCGTGATGTGTGTCTGATTTAAAGGAGCAGTATGAAAACTCCAGTGAGCGTCCTGCGGCTGCCCAGAGGACCGGACCCGAACAGCCGAGGTTTCGACCCGAACTCTCCCCGCTTCATCGCTCTCTGTCCCACAACCGTTCCCTCCTCCTCCTCCTCGGGAAGCGCAGATGAAGGGGAGCAGCGGCTGCGGGCGGAGCTGCGCGAGAGGTTTCTGCGGACGCTCTTACTGATGACGGGCAAACGAGTCCGGTTCGACATGCACGAGCACGTGCGCGTGCACGCGAGGTTCGGCGCCTCGGACATAGACGTGCTGAACCTGCAGGTGTCTGATCTGGAGACTCCTCTCGGCGTTCAGAGGGAGGCGCTTCTGAGATGCCAGGATGTGATTGCGTGCTCTTTCGAAGCGTGAGAGCGGATGTTCAGCGCGAGAGGGCGCGAGAAGCGCTGCGACTGCGTGAAGAACTTTGCCGTCGCTTTCATTCTTCTTCACGCTGCTGTATGTAATAAACCTTTGCAATGTTGAGAGCTGCATTCTTAAAATGTCTTTCTTTTTAACCCCTAATCAACACTTAAAAAAATAAAGGTTCTAAAATGGGTTCTTGCAGTGATTTTTTGGTTCTTTTCTAATCTAAAGAACCTTCTTTCACTGTAAAGAACCTTTTGTGCAATGGAAAGTTTCCATGGATGTTAAAGGTTCTTCAATGAACCATCGACGCCAATAGAAGAGCCTTTATTTTTAAAGGGGTCATGTGATGTTGCTAAAAAGAACATTATTTGGTGCATTTGGTGTAATGAAATGTGTTTATGCGGTTTAAGGTTAAAAAAAAACATTATTTTCCACATACTGTACATTATTGTTTCTCCTCTATGCCCCGCCTTTCTGAAACACTTCGATTTTTACAAAGCTCATCATTCTGAAAGCGAGGTGTGCTCTGATTGGCCAGCTATCCAGTGCGTTGTGATTGGCCGAATACCTCAAGCGTGTGACGGAAATGTTACGCCCCTACCATACTGTGATGATGCCCTGTCAGGCCGGAGCGATGATTCAAAAACATGAAAACCCATGGCGGCGGCAACAACAATACTACAGCGAGAATAAAAGTTATGCCTTCTTTCTTTGCGTGAACATTTCGGCGGTGTTATGCAAATCTTCGCACATCGTGACGTAGACATGTGGGGTGTGTTAGAACGAGCCGTTTTAGGTAGGTGTGGCTGACTATTAACTTTTATAAAGAATATCTCTTTGGATTTGAGACTTTAGTCTTTGCAACTTTACAGATCTTCTTTATGCACCAAGAGCTTGTAACACTCCAAAGAGAAAGGAAAAATTGAAATCGCATCATATGACCCCTTTAAGAGTAGACTCTAGAGAGTATCTACTAATCATTAAACTAATCCAAACGGCACATGAATCACATTACAAAAATGCACCATAAATGCCATGTGACTAATTATTCTGGAGCCACAGGGAAGTGACGTCATGACAGTGCTGATTTTTTAAGGAATCCTCGAGAATGCACATGAGCTGCAAGCCAACAGACGGGGAAAATATACAAAAGAAAAAAAAAATCAGCATGTTTTTTAGGAATAAAATGTTATAAATCAGACTGAATGATATATGAACAAACCACTCAGTATAAATCTTTAGAACATAGATAGGAATAAATCTGTTATGGTATGTAAGTGCTACCAAAGTGGAGATTTTTTTTTTGTTTTGAAAATGGCCTTTTAAAGATGTATTGTAATTGAAATCTACAAAATCAAATAGATAAAATGTAACAAAATAAACACTTAGAGGAATAGTTCGTCCAAATCTTCAGATGAACACAAAAGAAGATATGTTGGTAACCAACAGCTTTTGGTCCCAATTGACCTCCATAGTAAGGGAAATAAATACTATGGAAGTCAATGGCTACCATCATATTCTTCAAAATATATTTTTCTGTGTACGACAGAAGAAAGCAATCCATACAGGTTTTGAATGACATGAGGACGAGTGAATGATGACAGATTTTTTTTTTCACATTTAAATGTGTATTTTGGATGCTTTCGTTCCACTAGTATGAAGTTATGGAAGCAAAATAACCTACAATCTCAACATTTGTTTCCATTATATCACAGCTGGAGTAGTGCTTTGACCAGTCAGCATCAGGAGCAGTCTCTAAAAGCTTCTGACAGTGTTAGAGATTAAAACTCAATTTAAAGTGTCCACCTGCACCAAAACGTGCAATTTCCAAATGACTTGTCTTAACAGTTTTTCCCTGAAAACACACACAAAAAAAGCATATTAGTCATGTATTTGTGTCCAAAAAGTTTTTGTAAGGGCACAGGAGTTTGTTATTCTTCTAATGGAGCGAGGAGAATCAATGACATTCAATCTTCTTAAAAGGTACGAGGTTGTTTACCAAAGCCGGTTTTATTAGAATAGCATTAGACATTGTTCAATGACTGTGCCTTTGTTTGTGAAGTTACCCTGCAGAGCGGCGGGGCCTGATGACTCATCCTACAGCACACAGACACACAGATAGACCCGTCCCGTTGTGTTCTCAGAGCTCCTCATAATTTCATCAGGAAGCTTACAAGGACATGCAATGATAATGTCATATCTCAAGTCATGAACCGAGTCTTTTTGCTCACCTATAGCCAGCAGTAATCATGTTTTGAGATGCAGGTCTGCGACCGCTTACGTAAGATGTTCATCGCTCAGATTTAATCATCTTCCTCTCCTTCATTTACTTTAAATGTTTCATTGAATCCATCAAGGAACGAGTGAAGGACTAATGCAGTGAAATAAAGTGCATCAAATTGATCTGTGTTTCTTTGGATTGCTTTTCACTGGCAGAAGTGCTTACTGAATGGACTCTACATGTGAGGCATCAACACAGTTTAGTGAGGGTTACAGCAGCTTTTTGATGCCATGATGATTCGCTTGCAAGTCAAAAACATAAAAACTTTCCAAGTTTAAAGGCTCATTCGTAATGTGTACTATTGCATATATTATTTACATTTTATATTATTTAAATATTTTTTTTGTATTATTTTTATTTCAAGAATATAATTTTGATATATAAGTGTATTTGAAAAAAAATATTGTAATATATTTTAGAAGTTGTATAATTTTTCTACTCACCACCTAATAAAATATGTAATATATAAACTCAAATATATAATCTCATTAATTATGTAAATTCTTCTTTTTTCCCTCATATATGGGGTGTTGATAGT